TAGGTGTCGTGAGCACCTACGCAGTATATTCCACATGGGGGTGGACGATAGGATTCTACATTATGTTCGTTTAGCTGGGTTTTATGGTGTTCACAGATTGGTTTCGACTCTGCATATAGATAGAGCATTACTTACCGCTCTACTTGAGCGTTGGAGACAGGAGACTCACACATTCCATTTACCGGTGGGTGAGGTCACGATCACATTAGGAGATGTGGCTGTATTGGCAGGTCTACCGATCGAGGGTCGGGCAGTTACTGGGACTGCATGTAGACTGTGGGTTGATTTGGTACACAGATTGTTGGGAGTACGGCCACACCCAGGGACAGATATTCGGGGGTCCGCCTTGAGGATGGCTTGGTTGAGAGAGCATTTTGATGGTTTACCTGCTGATGCTGATGACGATGTTGTGCAGCAGTACGCGAGAGCCTACATTCTGATGCTTATGGGAGCTTCCACGTTTGCGGACAAGAGTGGGAATGAGGTGCAAGTCTTGTATTTACCCATTCTGGAGTCTTTTGATGTAGCTGCAGTGTATAGCTGGGGTAGTGCCACTTTAGCATACCTATATCGGCAGTTATGTCGAGGTTGCCATCGTGACGGTGGAGAGATGGGTGGGTTTGTATTGCTCATAAACCATGGTCTAACATAATTTTATATTATAGATGACGTGGATGTCGTACACTGATGAGATTCTAGGGCTTTTACCTGCTGTTGCCCGAGAGCACACTGACATATGGCGAGCACGTGTGCCTTTGATATGTTTTGATGTAGTGGAGCATTACTTTCCTGATCGCGTACTACGCCAGTTTGGGTTGCAGCAGGTTACTCCCGGACCTTGCGATACATCTGTGGATTTGCACAAGATTGATAGACGGGGGAAGCACACTGAAGATTGGGGGATGCGCCATATTCAGTATATCACTATGTGGGATGATAGAGCGGCGTATATAGTGGACGGGATCCCATCTTTAGTCCCCACAGCTTCTGTAGACTACATGAGATGGTATTACACCATCACACGGGTGTTTATCTCTCCCAGTTTTCGTTTACCCACTGATCATTACCAGCCTAGCTCAGTCGCTCTTCATATGACGGTAAACAATATAGTCAATGAAATATCTTTATTTATTTATTCATGTGTTTTTCACTAATAACCATGTTTGCATTACAGACACGGGCTTTGCGTAGCATCCATGACAGAGCGACTGCTATACTTGATGAGGCGGTAGATGTACAGGGATACCATGACGCTTGTTCAGGCATTGTTTCACTGTGCGCTGATGTATTGGGTCGAGTCGATTATGGATATATGGCCGCGTCTCAGCATTCCACTGCATCTACATCCGCAGCAGGGTCTTCTCAGGCAGTCCGACGTGATAGAGTTGTTCTTCAGCCTCGTAACCAGCGCAGACGTCCCCGAGCACAACTACATGAACTTCATGATGATGATGATGATCACGTTGAGTTATGATATTTGTATTTCACTTATTGTGTGAAAGTTGTAGTATGCACTAGCAGATCGAATTATTTTGTGATACATCAGATTTATTATAACTTTTATGGTTCATACTCAATTTTGTGGTGTATTGATTCCGTTTGTGAAAGTCTCATAATATGAAGTTTCATTCATTCGTTTTGTGTTTTGGATGTATGTTGTAATGTAGTTTCATTGATTCGTTTTGTGTTTCGGGTGTATGCTGTCTTAGTAAATCATATGTTTGGTTGTTTTTTTTTTTCTGGAATGGACTGTGAGTCTCTGATGAGCAAATAATCTGGTTATTATAGGTTATTACAGGTTTAGTTGTTTAAATTAATGCTGCAGCAGGTATCTTAACACAAAAGCCGCCACTTCAAGTGGCGGTTTTTATACAGCGGTACAAGAGCCGCCACTCCAACTGGCGGCTTTTGTAAAGCTTCACAAGAGCCGCCACTTGAAGTGGCGGCTTTTCTTAACCGTGGTTAACCCCAGCAGTATTTTGGGAATTATTCTTAACCCGGCAGTATTTTGGGAATTATTTATTTAATTAGCATTATTCCGGGAAAAAACTCGAAGACTTCATATTGAATTAATCGACAAGAATTTAATGATTAATTGCAGCCCACAAACAAGTATTTGTCTCCTTATATATATTAAGCGCTTAAGCAACCCACAAATAAGAATTTGTCTCCTTATTTATTAAAGCCATCTTCGATCAGAGTGTTGATAAACATTACTAAACCAATTAGTAAGAGGAGATGTACCTTGTTTGCAGATTTCAGTGAAGCGAAAGAAGAATAGAGTAGCACGTCAAGAGAGGAGAGTGATGTATAGCGGCATGAGTGTGAAATAACCGCAAATACCGATTCAGTGCAGACTTGATAGTAGGTGTTGATGGAAGGGGTTGTTTAACGGAAAAGAGCAACTTGATGTTTTTAGTTGGGTGTTGGTTAACAAAAAAGAACCATATAAACTGGGAGGTGGCGTTTGTTATATAAGGAAATAGATTGTGGTTCCAATGAAAAAAATGCTTAACGTGAGAACGTGAGAACACACGCATTTAACCTAATGTGATACACAATAGATCCCGTGTGGTGCACATTTTAACTTTGCTCAAACAAAGCCAACATAAATAGTTGTGGTGGCATTTTGGTAAATATTAAGCTCTAAATGAAAAAGTGCAATGAACGAATCTCATTGTGCATCACATCGGGAGAAATGTGATGTTTTCACGTTCTCGCGTTAAACCATGTTCTTGTTTGATCTTTAATCGAAAGGGATATACATTTGCATTTGTGTGTGGTAAGGATCTCACCCCCCCAATTAGTTTTCATTTACTTTTCTTTTCGACATGTATTTGAAAATGGTATGCCCTGCCCAGAGAGTTATTGATATAATCCCCATCTCCTTATGTACTTACTGTGTTTTTAATAAAATACAGCAAAAATTTCACGACTTTTGCCTCATTGAATTGAGCGGTTTGCCTGCCGGGTTCAAAACAAAGTAATTGACATTTTCATACACAATAGGAGATATTATTATTTCACATGACAACCAAGTGTCTGGTTTACATTTTGATAGGTCTGGGTCTAGAAAACCGAAAACCGAAAACAGAACCAAATTAAACTGAATTGCAACCAAAATAAAACTGAACTGCTAAAAAAACCGAAACCGAATGTAAAAAACCCGAACAAAACTAATTAAAATATGAAAAATTATTTGTTAATTCTTAAGCATTAATCCTATCTAATTATAATATCATCAATAGTCTTTGATTTTTTAGTTAGAGAATTAATTTTTTTGTTATGTTTGTTTGAGCTAATTGTTACATTCATTGCATGTAATAATGTAATTATATCGATCTATTATGTCTTCCATGTATGTATGATGTAATTTGTTGCATGATGATGATATGATTTTACCGGTTATAACTTTAGTAGTTAACTTTTATTTTTATGTAACTTAAAGTTTTTATATTGATTAAACAAATAAATATCCATTGCAACTATATCACATAGGATGATAGGACGTATATATTCATGAACTTATTTCAAACTAGTTACAAACAATGTAAATTAAAAACATACAAACTTTTATCTCCCCCTGCATACACATATAATTCAAGACATGTTTATTTTAATTCTTCTCATTTTTTTTATTTGTTCTAGGATTTTTTCATTTTTTAGGTGATATGTTTGATCCCTCCAACTATTATATCATTTTAAATCAAATCAAGTAAATGACAATATTTTAGTAAAACCCCCGAAAAAACCAAAACCAAATCGAAATAAACCAAACCAATCAAACCATGGTTTCAAGCTTTGAAATGTAAAACCTAACCAAAATCGAACCGAACTTTTTACTTTGATTTCGTATTTGATTTTTGGTCAAAACTGAACCGAGCACACCCCATATATATCACCAGCTATAGTGTGATTTCATTAAACGTATTACGCATGCATACAATCCAACTGCATGCAACAAAGCCAATTCAAGGTACTTACCACACCTAGGGGCAGGTTCAATAATTTAAGTTGACTTGAGTTAAAAAGCGATTATAGTAGGCTTAAAGACTAAAGCAATAGTGTGATTGGTCAAATTAGAAAAGAGTCATGCTTGGGTACCTCAATTTGTACCCCAACCTGTACACCGTTTGTGTACACAGACATTTGGACAGAAAGTCATGTCCTCTTTCAAACGAATTGCCTGTGTACACAGGCAATTCAGGGGGGTGGGTACAAAATGGGGTACATTTTGGGGTACCTCTAGAATTTTTTATTAGAAAAACCAAAAAGTTATGCGAAAAAAATACAGAGTAGTTTGTTTTGTACTTCAACCCACCGTAAGACCATTTGTAGTGGTTATAGATTAGGAGTCAAAAGATTAAAAATGGAAATTTTAGACTCTTAATTTGGTATAATGGTAGATTAAAAGGGGGAGTAAAAGTGGGAAGGGGAGTGGAAGAGTGTATAAATAGAGGGTTAGGTTGACGGGGTAAAAGAAAAGGAAAAAGAAAAAAGAAGAAGAAGAAAACGCGGCACTCTTCTGCCGTCTGCTGTGTTCATGGTTCTGGTGACATCACGATGATGTCACGCATATGTCATTAAAATCCCAATTAATTTTAAACTCTTATAACTTTTTTATTTGTTCTCCGAATTTTTCAAAAATTATATCAAAATTCACGAATTTGTATGATCTTTCATATGACACCAATATGTAATATATAAAATGCAAAAAAAAAATAACTGTTGAAGTTTTTTTGAACCCAAAAAAACACAAAATACAAATTTTTAATTCATTGAGCCTTCACAAATATTAGCTGGATATTCCATAATCCAATTTTATCTGAACTATGTTCATTTTTTGTTAACAAAAAATCATAAAAAAAATTAGTGAAATTTATTTTTTTTATTCGAAAAGTGTATTTTTTATTTCATAATTATCCAGGGAAAAAGTTAAAAGGAAAATATTACTTATAATTATTTAATTAATGTTTTACTAAATTGATATGTAAAAAATATGCAGAGTGTATTTTATTGACGGTGCACGGATGCAGGGGAAAACAGTATTGACGGAGTCTAAACACTGTTTTCATATGGACGGAGTCCAAATTTAACAATTTGGACTCTTGACCACTACAAATGGTCTAATACCGTATCCTAACATAGTTCAGTCTCTCATCATATCAAGCAATGATACTTGGCCAGAAATGGCAGGTTAGTATAAATATGAAACTTTAAATTTTACTATATTTTTTACTGTTTATAAATATCTATCTACACAGACGGAGTTGTCTGTTCACAATTTTTTTCTTGTGGGCGAGGCCCTCCCAGCCTTTCCTTGTCTTCAGCCCCGTGACCATGTCTATTATTCTCCACCCCATGACCATATACATGCATGCATGGATCATCATAATAAGGTTAGGTGTTTTTCAATTCCTTTCCATCTCCCTCAAGATCGCTTCCAATATAAGTGAAACCAATACTAATAGTGCAACAATACATGTATACGCAATTTTCCACTGCTTTGGCGGACGTAGTATATTTAACCCTTCGAACACATTGATAATTCCAAGAAAAAGCACTGACCAGCCAGTTACATAATGAGCAATGTTCCAGTATTTTTTGTACTTGTGTTTCTCCTTTGGTCTTTGAAACCCAAATACTACCTACATTTATGGACAAAGCACGTAAGTGTAAAACTCCAAATAAAGGGTCATTTAATATTTAACTCAAATCAAGATAGCAGAGAACACTTGAGCTACATACTGCCTACATGCATTTGGGAAAAACATGACACTGAGCTTGCTGAGAGCATGTGTAATAATTTATTATACCTTATTGTTATAATATTTCTTACTTTTAAGGTCCCTGCTTTTAACCTATGTTGTCAAAGTTGGACTTGAAGACGACTCGAAAAAATGATCAAATCAATGGTCAAACTCGAGTTTACTCGACACCAAAGGTCATCCTGGTCAACGGTCGTAAACCCATTTAATATTTGCTCAAAATAAAATATAAAATTTTTATAAATACTACTCATATTAAATCCACAAAAGGGAAAATGTTGTGATTTGTAATTTTTTGAAGGAGTTTATAATTTAATAGTGAAAAAATATATACTCCGAAGTAATAATAATGAAAATAATAATGCATTGTCGGTGTTGATTTTTTTTGAAGGAAAATGTCGGTGTTGATTTAATTTGTTGGCTTCTAATTCGTTTCCATTATCTTCTCAAAAGAATTGATCGATAACATCATCTTGTGTTATTTAAGCTTAGTAATATTACGTAGTACTTTAATTAGATATATTCATGTTCTTTTTCTTTTTGTTTTGAACCCGGTAGGATTAGATATATTCATGTTCAATTCATCCCCTTAATTTTTAATTTTTAAAATTAATATATGATCTTACATAATATATAATACGTAGTACGGAGTAATACTTAATTGAAGATTAAAAGGATAAATATTTAAAATAGTTTGTCTATACTTAATTGGATTTAAACCATTTGTAGTGGAAAGTTTTAGGAGACCATAACGCTAAATGTGGGGCTTAATTTTGGACTTCTAATTGCTTACATTGGAGTAGTAAAATAAGGTTTAAAAGAGGAAAGGGAAGAAAAGAGGTATGTGAGGCTGCTATTACGCGGGTGACGTCATGTTTACGTCATCTCTGCGTAAAATCCCTCTTTTTTAAAAGGCAAAATTCACCAGAATAATTCATACTTATAGGGATTCTATAATAATAATAATAATAATAATCCCTATTCAGAATGTCCACAAAAATAATTCAAATCAGCAATGATGTTCACAAAAATAATTCAAGTTAGCAATAATGTTCACAAAAATAATTCAAATTAGCAATAATGTTCACAAAAATAATTCAAATTAGCAATGATGTTCATAAGAATACTTATAGGGATTCTATAATAATAATAATAATAATAATAATAATAATAATAATCCCTACTTATTCTCTTTTGTTCGTTCAAACTTCTTCTTCAATTTTTGTTTTCCATTTATTTATAGTTTACATTTTTTCCACTCCACTCATTCATTTTTTTCATTTCCTTTTTATATATATCTTCTGCTCCTCAAATTTTCAACTCCCACTTCTTATTTATTTTCATGTAAAATTTTCATCAAGAATTTTTCATGCAATTCTTTCAAAAATTAATTATTTGAAAGAATTGTTCATGTAAAACATATACTTCTCTCACTCTTTCATTGAAAGCTCCAACCTTGTAAATAATTTATGAGTATATTATTTAAATTAAATGTGTATTGATATAATTTTAAAAAATAAGCACAATAAATTTGGTTGGTCTAAAATAAGGATTGAGTGTTTTTTTTCTACTAATATGAGCATACACAAATTACAAATTGATATTTAAGCATACTCGAGATTTTAAATTAGCTTTTTAAATTTTTTGATACTATTTCGTAAGTTATCTATGCTCATTTGATATTTGTGTAATGCTCATTTTAAACAAGCATTACACTAGACAATTTAAAATGTCATATTATATGAATGCATATTGGTGCAACGCTCATTTAAAATTTTTCGATGCTCATTTAATGAGTTATGTATTCTCATTTAATATTTGGGCATACTAGAAATTTTAAATAAGTTTTTTGAATTTTTCGATGTTCATTTCGTAAGTATGTATGCTCATTTGATTTTGGTGTAATGCTCATTTTTATAAGTTACATGTGCTCATTTGGTAATGATGTTATGCTCATTTTTAAAATATCATATCAATGCATATTTCAAAAGTGCCATATTACATTAGATTCACATATTGAAATTCATAAGAGTTAATTATATACTCCGTATAATTTAATAAGTTTTTATAAAAAAGGCTAAAGAGTCAAATAGGCCATTGAACTGACTTAAAGTGTTCAATTAGCTCCTTATATAGGAGGTTTTGTCCGGCCGTCGCCAATTGGGGCGGTTCCTGGGAGAATTTTTTGATGACATTTTTTAGAATCTTCTTCATTAAGTCTAGTTTACTCATACCAAATTTCAGCTAAAAATTCAACCGGAAAGGCAGTCAAATGATATTTTGAAGATAACTGTGAAGTTAAACAGCGCAGTACATTTCGGAAAATCATTTGACTGCCTTCCCGGTTGAATTGTTAGCTGAAATTTGGTATGTGTAAACTAGACTTAATGAAGATGATGCTAAAAAAATTTCATAAAAAAATTCCACTGGGAACCGCCCCAATTAGAGACGGCCGGGCAGAATCTCCTATATGAGGGGCTAATTGAACACTTTAAGTCAGTTCAAGGGTCTATTTGACCCTTTAGCCAATAAAAAATAATAAAAAGAAATATATGAAGCAATGATCATAAATGCTCATTGCTAGGCTTCTAATGCTCAACAGAATATATCTGATGCTCACTAAAAGTGCATTAATGCTCATTTATAAGATGACGAGAATTTCATTTAAATTACCAAAATGTCTCCTGTTGTACAATATAGGCTTCCTCCAAGGAGGGTGATAATTACCCCTTCTTTCTTTGGTTGCCATCCATGCATGTAACATTCCAATATCTTTCTTTTTCAAATTGTTATAATTTTTATTTATGATCCATTTTAAAAAATATATATATATCAAATTAAATATTTTTATGATCTTTCGAATGGTACCAATATTGCATAATAAATATTTGAAAAACATATCCATTTCTTGCAAATATCTATTTCTATCTAGATATTTTTTGAATTTTAAATATACAATATTAATATCATATGAAAAATTATTTAAGATAAAAATTCTGATTTTTTTTAAATGGACATAAATTAAAAAAACTTATAACAATTTGCAAAAATAAAATGAATTGACTTGTCACATGACAGTCTAATAGGGAGGGGTGGACACCCTGATTTGAGAAGGTGAATAAAATTGTTTTCTAGATGTCCATCTTTACTCTCGACATACTCTCGACATACTCTCGACATAGGCACAAATAAAAATAAGGAGTAGGACCCACCCACTTTATATGAATCACGCAATGATTGCGAGGAGGATAGGTGTGGGATTTAGAAAATACTCCGTGACAAACAATTGAAGATTAAATTTACCTGAAAGGTAGCAAGAAATATGATTCCAATCCCAATATTTAGATGAGCATTGTAATGAACACCCTTTGAGGTGATCCGTAGACATATGCCAATTGCCCAGCCAACAAAACCAATCGCACATGCAGCGAGCTGACAACCACGATGGGCTTGAAACCATATATACTCTTCTAGTCGATTGATCCTTTTCATATACCTAGCGATCATTATCCCAAGAGGAATCATAACTCCCCAGCTGATCGCACAAAGCATTCCATGAATCTGTATCCATATATCCATTTTTATTAAAAATTAACATTGAAGATTTGAAGTACTAGCTTAGGTATGGGGATTATAATTTTCAACAATAACACTACTTTAAAAAACGGACAAAAAATGTGATGCTCTTAAACTCTGTACTCGGAAAAGTGATACGGAGTGTATTAGACAAATAATGACCATACCAAGAACATAATAAAAAGTAAAAGTCACACAAATAAAGAAAAACATATCATTTCTTTTCAAACATACACTTTCTACATATTCTCTTGCAAAATAGACTAAAGCCTCAAAACTGAAAGCGACGACATAGAATCGGAACAAGTATTGAAATCGAAACCAAGAATAGGCTAGTACAGAACTAGAAAGATCCCGATGAAATAAAAAGGCATTCTTATGGACATTATAATTATGTTTGGCGATATTACTTGACAATTTCTTTTTATTTCCAAATAAATCACCAGATTGGTTGGCAATTTTTAATTTACAAAGGGAGTAATAGAGAATTCCATGGATAGTTTTTGCCGTCCTGGGGTTTGAAGTGCCGATCGGAGTTCGGCGGCAAAGGCAAAGCAAGCAACACTCGTCTCCCCTAGATTTAGGTTATACGATGTTTGACCACGATAAAACAAACAGAACTCAGTCCACATTCAAATTATTTTTAGGTATTTTTTTTACATATTCAGAAACTAAATGAAAAGCTTTACAAAGTCGAAAAATTAGAATCAAATTTGATAAAAAAAAATGATACATAAAGTAAGAGATTAAAAGTGATTTGTGTTAACTAAGTGAATAGAAACTGGAACAATAATGGGAGCCAGAGGGAGTAACTTAAACTCGAGCATATGCTATTGCGGGCCGGGACCGGGCCGGGGCGGTAGACAAATATACGGAGTATATGCTAAGTCCGCGCATTTGTGCAATTGTGCGAGCGGGTGGGCCCTTTTAGTTGCAGGTCTTTTGTACTCCGTATGCGTTAATTGATAAAATGAATTACGTAGTACAAAGTTTCACGGAGAAAGGAGGAAATAAAGAAAATGCCGGGAAAATTAAACTCACCTTCCCCCATGTGAACCTCCCACCACCTCCAGGTTTGCCATTGTTGCTCTCTCCAATCACCAAATCGATAGTACCCTTGGAATTGACATTAGCGGGCTGGAGATCATGTTTGGCGGGCACGCCATTCCTGACGGCGCCGACCTGCCAGACGTGATTGATCGCCGTCGTACTCATCCGGGGGAGCACAACCGTCGCGAACAGACACATCACGCCGCCGTATGACTCCGCCGTGGCCTGCTGTACCCTGTACCACACATCGGACTCCCGAATTAAAGCGTAAGAGCTCACATTGTAGGTTTTCACCGTCATTGCGCCATTGGAGCCCTTAAATGCGATTAGCGATTGAGCGCCGATCATGCCGGTCCCCGTCGGATTGATGGCCCACGAGATCCATCCGTCGGTTGTGGGAGAAACGACGGCGACGAATGCGACGGAGAGAGTGCAGTTGGCGGGATTGTAGGTCCAGTGAAGGAAGGAGGTGAGGGTAGGTAAATCAATACACTGAGCAAAACTCTGGTTGTGGGCGAAGGTTTGCAACGAGCAGATCTTCGAGTATTGCGACTGTGACGGTGAGATTATAGAAAGGAGAGCCGTTAAGGCAAAGAATTTTAGCGTGGAAGGCGCCATTGGCAGGAGAAATGCTCATAGCTTATTGGAGTACATATACTCAGAGAGAAGGGACTGTGAATTGCCTAAGGTATAGTCAGCGTTTGACCGTTCTCACTTTTGATTCCATCCTTTACAATGAAATCTGGTGTAAAAGTGAAAGCTAGAAAGAATGAAAACTAGTTTGGTGATACAAGAAAGTGAGAGTATAAAGTATTCTCATTCCCATTCTTCTGTACGTGGGATTTGTTTGAACTAACAAGTTATGAATCTAAGTGCCCGTTTGGAGGACTGGAAATCAGCTTATAAGCCTGAATATGCATAAAAATCACCAAACAGCCTCTTTATCGGCTGATTTGGCTGAATTTTATTATCAGCTCAAAAAGTAGCCTTAAGGTTACTTCTTTGGCTGAATTTTATTATTGTACCGTTAAGCTATTGAAATACGTATTTATCCTTCTTGAAGACCTCTCGTTCTACTGCTCCAGAAGTGTAGATTTAGTTCTTTGTGAACTTTCATAATTTCCCAATACTTTATCTCATGAAGCCTGGTCTAATAAGTTGCTGCACGTTTTGTTTTTTATGTGGCGTTAAACTTATAGGGTTGCTTTATTTTGAGTTTATTATGGTTTTTATAACTCAGTAGTAATTCTATTTTCTTCCAATTTAAAATTTTGAATTCTAAATACTTTAAAATTTAAAGTACCTTGCGGTGTTTTAAAAACTTGTATGAAGGTGTGGGGTATTTTGTGGCCTAATAAGGGTTTAGGTAGTAAGGGGTGTATTGTAATCTAATGTATTGAAAACATCAAGAAATTATATCCTTTATGGTAATTTTACATTCAATCAGCTATTTCAGTCAGTATATTACCAAACACTTTAACTTCAGCAGATGAAGTCTTTTCAGTCTTTTCAGCAGTTTCAGCCATTGCAGCCGTTACCAAACGGGCCCTAAGTCATTACTCATCTATCATTAAAATATCAAGTATTACTTTGTTTCCAATCTCATTTCCCCCATAAGTTGACTCCATAGAGTTGTTTAAGATTTCTGCTTTTTTCTCTGTGATATTAATGATTTGCAATCCTGAATCCATAGTTGTTCAAGCTTTCTACTTTCTTTTTTGTAACTTTCTTGCCGTAGATGGAAGTAGAATGTGAGACTATATCTATATGGCTCTTTTTGCATATAAAATTTATTTAGATGAGAGATTTTATAATGATTTTGTTTCAAATTATTCATGTAAAATTATTGGGCGTTGGGTGTTAATAAAATATGAGTTTTGCTAGGTGTACACAAAATGTGTACACCTTTTTTGTACACTTGTCTGTCCCCGGCAAACAAGTTGCCTGTCACAGACAATTCGAATTCGAGTTGTCTGTGACAGACAACTTATCTGCTGGGGACAGACAAGTGTACAAAAAAGGTATACACATTTTGTGTACACCACGCATTTTTTATAAAATATACAAAGGGGTGCGGTGTTTAGCAATTGGTTATTGGTTGATTGTGTTAGTTGATTGATGACAACGGATTCAGTTGGCTGCTTTGTTTAGTTGATAAGATTAGCAATTTGTAAAATGATGTTTGGTTGAGTTTACCATCACCTTGTAGGTTGCTAACCAAACATCCCAAAGTGGTCTACAGGTGTTTAAAGATTTTGTTGATTTCTTGATTTTTTCTTAGAGGGGGATTCACAACAACAATCAAAACTTATCTCCAAAAGAGTTTAATGTCGACTCCCATGAGTTGAAATATGATATTGGTGTTAATAACATGAGTTTAAAGTCGTATGTTTTAATAGAATTAATAATAGGGATATTTATGTACTTTACATTAAACCCTTCTACTATAAATATATTTGTCAGGGCTCCTTAGTGAGCATCTTGTTCCATTATTCTCACATGGTATCAAGAGCACATTAAAAACCTAATATTTTTTTTGTCTCTCTCTCTAATCCTCGGCGCCGCCAGGCTCTCCTTTCAGCCACCGCCTCCAGCTTCTTCCACACCGCCATGACCAGATGGCGTCCTCGGCTCCCGTTTTTTCCGCAGTGCCCATCACGGCGATGTCGTCCGCCATATCTGCTTCGTCTGCCGCGGCCAGCACCGCAGCAACCACCGGCACTCCTCTCTCTTTTGGAACGCTGCCGGCAATCACCTATGTCTCTTCCAGTGTGACGTTTTCCTCCAACTTTGCATCACCAAGCCGGACATCTATGTCGTACTCTCTATTTCAGAATTTATCACCGGTGTTTTCATGGTCAGCTCCAACTCCCGTGCAAACCGTTCCTCTTGAGCCGACTCCTTTCTCGGCTGCTTCTTTTGCTGGTCCCACTTTTGTTGGCTCACCAGAGTCTCTTCCATTCTGCATCATCTTCGGACACCCGCAGGCAGCCCGGTCAGTTCACCCTTGGCAGAACTCTCCCAAACAATCTCTCATGTGACGACCAATGTCACTAATATTGTGACTACCAAGCTTCTGGCGGTGGAAGATTACACTACTTGGAGAACTCAATTTGAATCGTTTCTTGTTTCACAATGTCTCCTTGCATGGTTGATGGCTCCATTCAGGTACCACCTTCTTATTCCATAGATGTACTCAACCGTCAAACTCCCAATCCCGAATTTTCTACTTGGCTGAGAATTGATCAAACAATCCGTTCATGGTTATTCACTTATTTGCAACCCTTTCTCGGGATGTACTTATCGATGTTCGTGATTTAAAACATTCATGTGAAATTTGGGAGCGGTTGGAGTCTCGGTTTATGTCTGCTAGTTTAACCCGATCTATGGAATTAAATCGTTTATTGAACCAACTTAAAAAGAAGCCTGATCAGTCCAAGGACCATTATTTAAGAGAAATTAAAATTTTAGTTGATGATCTTGCTACAATCAATTGCCCTGTGCCTCCTCGGGAAGTGCTGAAAACTACTATTATGGGGCTGGGATCTGAGTGTAAATCTTTATTCACCACCGTCTCATTATTTCCCCAAAATTTTCCCTTTGAGACACTTCGCAATCATCTTCTCGAGCAAGAGCAGCGGGTTCTTTATCTACGCTCCCATGAATCTTCTTCACTACACCAAGCATTCAGTGCGGTTGCTTCATACCCCGGACAGCCGACTGGCCAGCAGCAGTCGGGCTTTCCGAACCCGGGCGGGCAGCAGCCACGTCCGCCAGACCAGCAGCTGGCGCAGCACCAGCGTGGCAGAGGCCACAGTCAGGGTAGAGGTCGCGGTGGCAGGGGCCGCGGTGGTCGCGGACAGCATCCGACACAGTACGGCCATCCGGTGTACTGGTATCCGCAGCAGGGTCAGTCCGTTTATAACCCCGGAGGGGGTGGGCAGCCGGTTCCAGCTGGGTATGCTCCACATGCAAGGGGTGTGACATCTACGAGTACTGTTATTTGTAATTCTGCTATGTCACATTTAAATATTAATGTTGTCAAGCCCCTGACCGCAATCCAAGCGCGTGTACAACCGCCGTATAATCAAGTGACGTCACCCGCGAGTCAACCTCACTTAATTACACAAGGCGTTCGAGAAAATAATCCATCCATACTCAGTAGTAAACATACATAACAACATCACATTTAAACCAATGAATAGCGGAAATATTCAACGGTAAGTCATAAGCCACAACTGGCCAACAACATGGGCATACAAGCCCAAAAATAGTTTATAGTAATTCAAATATCCATGAGCATGTGTTCGGTAGTTTGAAAGAAAATAAGGAAGCACGAACCACGTCTTCCTGAAGTTGATATCACCCGTAAGAAGGTGCAAGTAGCATGCCCTAGCTTCAACCTGAAAATGGTGGGCCCCCCGAAGGGGTCAGTACAAGTACCGAGCGAGTAGCATGCTAAATATAGAATAACTAGCATTTCAAGTATAAGACCCAAACGTAGGGTGATACTTATATAAATAGTCTTTTCCCCCGAGTTATGAAATACTCATTAGTATATATATATATATATATATATATATATATATATATATACTTGGAAAATATATGATCCGTAGATCACCGTTTTATTTGGGAAAAATAGTAATAGTCAATATTCTTGACTAAAACCCCCAACCCACCCATATACCTATGAGTGTATAGGACTCCTCCTTGTCCCTATTTCAATATCATAATCTATGAGTTTTGAGGATCATAATCCTTGGGTACTCCACCAATTTATATTTGAGTGTTAAGGACTTTTAATCCTAGGGTCCTCCACCAATTTATTATCCGAGTGTTAAGGACTTTAAGTCCTAGGGTCCTCCACCAAAATATGAGTGTTAAGAACTTTTAAGTCCTAGGGTCCTCCACCAAATTATGAGTGTTAAGGACTTTTAAGTCCTAGAGTCCTCCACCAAAATATGAGTGTTAAGGACTTTTAAGTCCTAGGGTCCTCCACCAAAATATGAGTGTTAAGGACTTTTAAGTCCTAGGGTCCTCCACCAAAATATGAGTGTTAAGGACTTTTAAGTCCTAGGGTCCTCAACCAAAATATGAGTGTTAAGGACTTTTAAGTCCTAGGGTCCTCCACCAAAATATGAGTGTTAAGGACTTTTAAGTCCTAGGGTCCTCCACCAAAATATGAGTGTTAAGGACTTTTAAGTCCTAGGGTCCTCCACCAAAATATGAGTGTTAAGGACTTTTAAGTCCTAGGGTCCTCCACCAAAATATGAGTGTTAAGGACTTTTAAGTCCTAGGGTCCTCCACCAAAATATGAGTGTTAAGGACTTTTAAGTCCTAGGGTTCTCCACCAAAATATTTTCCTATGATCAACCTCCTATCAACCTAGATAGAGTCTATATCATATTTATTCACTCATAGCTAAATCAATACATAAAGCTTATGTATCACAATCCATGCAAAACCATGCATTTATATAAACTTGTAATTAACTAATACCAACCGATATTAATTAATTCATTATCCATCGGTCAACGTTTTTGTTGACCGCCATTTCAAGCCTTGTACATATCAATTTAATCATCATCTAATTAATTTAATAATATTCATTTGTTCTTCTTTTACACTTCAAACGAATATGCATTTTATATAATTCCTCATATCATATTTCATGCATAAACAATTAATTCCTTTCATACAAACTTAACTATGTTGGCTAATCACATGTTTAAATATCTTTTAAACATCATTATGAACACATATAACATTTATTTAGTTAATCTCATAATTAACCCAAAAGTTATAAGATATTAAGCAGTCCACTCACCTCGAATTAGCGCTATGAAGTTCTACCCTTCTTGGTTGAACTCCGGCGAAACTCCGGCGACTTTTGATGAACTCCAGCGACAACTCTGGCGACTTTTTCAACTTTGTGAAAGTTCTTGAAATACCTTACTCAAGTTCCTAACAAGGTTTTATAATTATAAAACCCATATTAATAC